GTGCGCTGCTTCTTTGTATCTCGTCCTTGACCCAAGGGAAATTGAGAACCTCGTGGATGGTGCGATTGTCATGATAGACGTGGGCCCCAGTGGCGATTCGAAGGGCTCTATTTTCGAAAGCTTGCATAGTTCGGACATTCGTCTTGCTCGCAGTGCCCCAGAGCTGTATGCCGTACGTCCAGATAGGGCGTATTATTGCCTTGTAAATGAGGAGTTTAGTGGAAGTTCTCAGCTTCGATCTCCTACCCATAAGCCAGTAGAAGGATCGAAGACTTTGATTAGCCTGTTTCCTCTTCTTAATCAGATGGGGCTTCCAGGTGAGCCTCCTGTCTAGGGTGAATCCCAGGTACCAAGGATTGTCTACCTGTGGATTGGAGAGCCTTAACAGGTTAACTGGAGGGCAGTTGCCTTTGCAGAGAAAAAATGTGGAGGCAGTGGACTTCTCATTATTGACGGCAGTGTTCCATCGCTTTTGCCAGTCGCTGAGCAAGTCAAGCTGCAATTGCATCGTATCGGCTGCCCCCAATGCGCTATCGGCGGTGGTAAGGAAGGCGGTGTCGTCTGCATAGGTTGCTGCGAGCAGGTCAGGCCTCTGAAGAACAGGGAGGTCGGCCGTGTAAGCATTGTACATCAACGGGCCAAGAACGCTGCCTTGGGGTACACCAGCGTGAGCTTCTCTAATACCGGAGATGGCCTCGCCACATCTAACAGCAAATTTACGGTCTTCCAAGAACGACTTTAGGAACTGGAAGTATGGTCGGGGTAGGCCAGTCTTTAATTTATATAGAAGACCGGGATGCCAGACTCGGTCAAACGCCTGCTTCACGTCCAGCATGACAGCCATGCAGTACTTCTTGGTTTCAAACGCGTCCAGGATGCACTGCACTACCCGATGGCACTGCTCTGGCGTACCGTGTCGCCGCCTGAAGCCAAACTGGTGGTCAGGGTTCTGAGGAATCGGTGATGAGATGGTATACGTCGTGGGGAATTGATGTAGGGTATGGTGACGATGACCGCATTGTAAACAGTTCTTGTTGCTGCCACACTGCGATAAAAGGATGCTGAGGCAATTTAGATTGATGCTGATTGATGCGATTGATGCTGAAGCAATTGCGATTGATGCTATGGAAATTTAGACATGCCTTTGTATGGTCAATTATACGTTTGCGGGCCTTGGACAAAAAATCAGGAAATCAACCGCAAAATGTGTTTCCCCTTATAGTTTATGCAAGAGGTGGGACCGCTGGTTCCAGTCGTGGTGTGGAACGTGCTGCCCTTGTAAAAGCCAGAACCCTTTTGCTTGGGATTTTGGGGTGGATAATTTGTCGATTTGTTGATCATAGAGTTTTGCGTGGGCTGGGAACATTTTCTCAATGATATTCAGGCTGACAAGGCGGTTGTTGAGGAAGGTTTCCAAGTCGAGGAAACTCGGAATGCCACTGGAGTCGTAGGTAGTCTAGCGATCAAATAATGGACTATCCATTGCGTGCTAGAATGGATATTCGTTTTGAGACGATTGAACTCGTTGAGGCATACGTTGGTTACGTTCAGCATATGTTTGATCTCCGATGAGCTTTCCCTTAAAATAAAGGGTAAGTCGTAGAGGGCGTTTAAGTGGTGCATGAATTTTAAACGTGGGTTATTATAGCGTTTGATGATAAGATCCCATGCAATAGTGTAGGCGCCATACGTTAGTTCCATCTTGGTCGTGCTCTTTAGGCAGTGCTTGCATAAGAAAATGGAATCGCTGAATATTCGACAACGTCTGGTTCTGGTGATTGAGTTGCATAAACAGATCATGGAAAGCTGGCCAATCTGTATACTTTCCAGAAAAATTAAGTACTCGCAACTTTGGAAGTTGGACTGCCGCACCAGGGCGGAGCATAAAAGTCCCGAAAAACCGTTTTTTCTAAATAAATCAAGATTTTGAGGGTGTTAGAAAAATTTCAAACACGGTTTTATACTATACTCGACCTAATGAACAATTCCTACTAGGTCTCTTCAAAAGTTCCAAATCACTGTCGCACTGTGATATTTTTGAATGGGCCAGCTTTAATCCCTCGTGTTTTATCCCTGACCTTCTCCACCACTCCGATCTTGCCTTGCTTGCTCTACGACTCTTCTTAAACAACTTCTTTACTAGGGGAGAGAAAAACAACTAAAGCTTTGCGAAGATTATAGGGAGAAATCTGGATGGATTCTAAGCTCACTGAAGATAGTTATCGGTCTATCTTCAGTGAGCTTAGAATCCACCCAGATCGAAAAGATAAATAACACCCGTACACATAATTATCGGCCAACTATATTTAATATTTGCTATATTCGATATATCCTATATATCAATTTCGGATCCGACCGAAGTTAGCTTTCCTATTTTGTTGTATATAAGCCGGTTAGTTTTCAGTAACTACACCCTGTTGGGGTGTTCGTTTATTTCAAGGCTTTGAAAAATCGTCAATAACACAGGCGAGTAGAGATATTTCTGAAACCACTTTGGAATTTATTATCGCACTTGTTAGATTGCAAAATCTTTATTTTTTACAATTGCCTTCCTTTAGGAGTCATAAGACATGATCCGCGGTGCGTATTGTAGTCTCCTGCGGCTATAAAACGATCGCCAAGTGAGTTTTAGAAGTCCATGAATTGTCCTTCCGAAGTTTTAAGCGAGTACACGGCAGCGATTGAAACATTTCTGTTACTTGTATAGATGTGGCCAGCAAGAAGTTTTTTGCAAACTTTTGGTGAACGTTCCGACATGAGCTAATGTTTCAACTAATTCGGATGATGTGTGCGATAGATTGTGTAGCCTCTTTTTTAAAGGTTTTTTGCTTGTGAGGTCCGTTTCCGCCAGTAGCGTAAATTTCTATTTATTCCGTGAGACCTCATTACCATTGCCTGGTGTTGATATTTGTAGCATATGTATAGATTACACAGTGCGACAAAAAAAAGAAAAGTTGGAGGAACTTTTGAAGAGACCTAGTAGGAATTGTTCATTAGGTCGAGTATAGTATAAACCATGTTTGAAATTTTTCATACACCCTCAAATCTTGATTTATTTCGAAAAAAAAGGTTTTTCGAAAGTGTTTTGCTCTTAAAAATTCCTGAACGCGTAATTTTAGGCCGATTTTCAATTTTTTCACGTTTTTTAATAGTTAAATGTTGTAGCTTTTGAAAAAAAAATACATATTTAATTTATTTAAACAAAAAGGATACAAATTTTACAAAAGAAACTGCCATTTTTGAATTTTTGTCATGTTTTTCAAACTTTGACGCCATTTTTTTGGGTACAACTTCCAAGAAATGGTATCATTCTTAACACATATCAATATTGTCTCATTAATCCTGAATAAAACAAGACCAATTTCATTAGGAAATTATGAAAATTGTTGAAGTTATTACGCTTTTCCAAAAACAAGTCAGTCCAATTTTCATAGCGTTCCGGAGCAATAGTGTGCCATTCCATTCCGCCTATTCCTTTCTTTCACACACTTTTACTCCGGAGCGCTAGTAAAATTGCACTGACTTGTTTTGGGAAAAGCGTAATAACTTCAACAATTTTCGTAATTTCGAAATGAAATTGGTCTCGTTTTATTCAGAATGAACGAGACAATATTGATATGTATCAAAAATGTCAGTTTCTTTTGTAAAATTATTATCCTTTCTGTTTAAATAAATTAAAGATGTATTTTTTTTTCAATAGCTACAACATTCAACTAACATTTATTTTAAGGCGTATGAAAAATTTCAAACATGGTTTTATACTATACTCGACCTAATAAATAATTCCTACTAGGTCTCTTCAAAAGTTCCAAATCTGTGTCGCACTGTGTTATTAAGACTGTTTTGCTACGAGAAAGTAGATAACCATCTTCTGGTTTTGTTTCGCGATGTTCATGGTTAGTCAAGGTTTTATATATGATCTTTTACTATATGCCAAACCCTTACGTGGCTGTTAAAGCTAACTAAAATTAACAAAAGGTCGTCAAGATATACGAATATCAATATCAAAGACGTAGCTAATGGCCTTGAGATTCAAGCCAAAGCGGATCTAAAACAAGGCGATGCTGATCACCCTGAGCGGTAAAAAAGTCGAGTTTGTCGACAGCTCTACCTAACTTGGCACTATCATAACATCAAACAGTGTAGTGATAAAGGTCGTGGACAATATGGACTTTAAATCCCCGAAGACTACACCGCGATTTTTTCGGGTTCAATTCCCTTTATTAAACTTAATGTAGGCCCAAATGCTTTCAGCTGGTACATGCAGTAGTTTTTCTCGTTCAGATATTCGGACACGGCTCGGAAGATCTCTTCAGTCTTTATTTGCATCTTTAGGCGTGACTCTTTCACTCTTAACTGTAATTTGCAAGCTTTGGCTGTTCATTTGTGTTCAACAACAATTATTGCTGAGGTAGCAGCAAAAGGTTTTGAGATGGTTTTGGTATGAATTCTTTGCCTTTATGTCAAGATGTTTATTTTTTGCAGGGTAAACTATAAAGATCAAAAGCGATCAATATAAAAATATGATGTGTGTGCTTTTGCCTACTGTTCTGGAGAAATTAATAACGGAGTGACCATATTTTGGGACTTCAACTTTTCACTAATCTTCTCATCGGGAATGTTAAAAAATTTAGGAACATTACCTCTTGGTGAAAATATCATGTCTTTTACAAAGTAAGGATGTTGTGGGATTTACATTTGATATCACGTGTACCCGAAAGATGCTTGATCTGCGCCATATTTCCAATATGTTTCCATGTTTTTCGCAAAAATAACTTTACCATCACGAAAAGTTTATATGGAGATTATTTCACTTTTATTGAACAAGTGAAATTTTATTAAATTTTTTATTAAATTATTATTTATTAAAATTTTAAATTAAAATTTAAAAATTAATTCAAAATACACCAACACATAATTATTAATTATATATTCGAATAATTTAAAATAACAAAATAATACATTTTTTTAACGGTTTTTTTAACTGTTTTATTTTCCAGGATACTGAATTTGCAATACTTAAGTTAGAAGGAAGTATTACAGAAATGCAGCACGAAATTGAGCTACACAAGGATTTGGTAATAGAAAATCATAGAAAAGCTTTATCGTGGGAAACAAAATATAAGCTTCTTGAGGAAACAATCCAATGGACAAAATCGGAACGATCATTAGATGGTGAAATGGGGTTAATGAAAAGTGAAATACATCGAATGAACATAAGATATACTCAACTGAAGAAAGCGCAGGAAAAGCTTGTTCATGATTTAGAACACTGTGTAATGCATCGTGAACAAATATTTGTTAGCGCATCAGTAAATGAACATGTAAAGACAAAAATAACGAAACTGAAAAATGTTTCTCAAATTCAAGTCAGACTAGATGAAGTTCAAAATAGAGCAAAACTAACTCGAAATGAAATATTATTTTTGTCTGAAAAACGTTTAACAGAGGATGTAAATAAAATTGAGCGCATGATTTATATGTTAAGAAGAATTCAATCTGATCTCAATGACATTCTTAAAGATGATTCTAATATTCGGGAAAGAATAGAGGAAGGTATTTTAGCTAAGCACGCTAATTTAGAACAAATTATAAGAAAACAAATGAGAGCCAAAATATATCGAAAACTTAATCTTGTCAAGTCTCAACAGAAAGTGGCTCGTGCTGATATGACTGTGCAACAACTATCAACAAAGCAAAATGAACTTAATGCTGTGCTAAAAGAAATAGTTCAAAATCTTATTCTAGACTATCCAGATAAAAAATCTTTCTTTATGAAAGTTATTCATGTTCTTAAAGAATAATATTTTCTGCCTAAATAATAATATAATCTTATAAAAAATGTTTATATTTATCATATGAGTGTCAAATGATATGTTTATTTTGATACTTAATAAACACTATTATAATAAAAATAGTGTCATCAATAAACCAACATAACGAGTTTTTAATAACTACCATGTTCAATTAAAGAGAAAGCGCAATTTCGATTTTACAATTTTTTTGGTTTCAGTTTCAGACCAAATCAGCCAAGCTAGTTTCCCGTGGTAGTCCACCGAGTCCGGAAACCTTCGATTTGGCTGGAAGGTTTCCGGACTAGCCAGGTTAAAACACAGATTTTAATCAGCATTTTTACATGCTGCGTTCTGAAGATGGGGTCGGGAAAATTAAAAATTGTCAACGAGCTAGGCTGACTTTTTGTGATTTAAGAAGCTATAGCCGCCTCTATGTTTGCAAAATACGTTGAAAGGCGCGTTTTCATTTACTGAGCGTTTTCAGGTATAAGCTGCTGGTTAGAAAAAAGAGTTGGCCCAATTATAAAGCAGAATATCAAAAATGCATTAAATAATATGATGATGTTTATTTGATGTTATGTTAATAATGACAATAATAATGCGTTAGAGCGGGATGATGATCTAGAGCAGGGGTGCCCAAGCTCAGCATAGGACAGAGCAAACTCGAATACCAATGCAAAAAATCACCAATACATTAAAGCTAGAAATTTTTTTTGCAAGTCATGTCGGTATACTGAAAAAAATTATAGTACAATTTTCAATGGAAAAAAGTAATACAAAAATATTTATGAAATAAAAATTAAAAACTGTAATAAAGTTATAAATAAAAGAAATTCATAGCTCAGATGTTAACCATTCTTTTTGAGATCTCAACCAAAAGTAATTTTTTGCAGTGAAAAGTTTTCGGTAATAAAAAAACGAAGTGCCTTCGTATTAGTACGAAAAACTGAGACACTATACAATTGTTGTTGCTTAACTTGAAAAACGAAAAATTGTTTTTGTATTTAGCCCTTTCCTATGCTACGAGCGACACACGTATATAAAATTTCATTTCCCATATAACGAGCAATTCCAACAACAAAGGAGCTCCGAGAGCAATGGGGCTGGGCACCCCTGATCTAGAGTGAAGATAAAACCGCGGCTAACGGAGCGGAACAACCGAGAAAACGAATCCGCGAGACCCAGAGCAAATCCAAGTGGCGACCGTTCGAATGTACTGTGATGATTATGAGCGGCCAGATTATGAACGAGATGACGAGCGTTATAGCGGAGAATGTTGGCAACGGCGCTAGATACTGACGAAATGGGGATTGAATGATCGTAGAGAGGTGTAACGTCACATGGCACAGAAATTATTTTCAGCCCGATTTTCGGCGGTTCCATGACCCGACATACTCCCCCCGTTAGAAGATGAGCTTTCAACTCCAATTACCAGCTCAGTAACTCTTGCAAGAGGCCACATATAGCCGCTTGATATAAATCCTTGCAATGTCTGGCTCGCTGAAACTGAAAAAGGGCCCTCCGTTCAAAAATTGGCCAGGGGTCAGGACGTCAAGATCTTGTAAATCCGCTCATCCGCTCCGCTGATTCAAAGCTCATCTTGGATCCAGGATAGTGCGACGGTACAAAACAAACAAACATACTTTGATCGATATGCTCCTAACTTGAAGAGCGGGGACATTAGCCTTGCCACCAACTCGGCTCCAGTAATTTCCAGGTTTAGCACCAGAAGTCGCTTTATAGCAGTGATGCCAATTTGTCCTTTTTCCGGAAAGAGATGTCCTGTTTCTAACGCTTCATACCGAAAATTTGAAAATCATCCTGTCTTTGAAATCTGTCTTTATTTTTAAATCTTATATTAATTTTGTTTTGTTTTTTTAAATAGTTGCTTTTGCGTTCAAATTTAAATTTACTATCAGCTGTAAAATATGAAACAGGTGACAACTTTTCGCGGTTGCCATACATACATCAAAAGTTTTGTTTTCAAAACTTGTATTAAATTCAAAATGCTAAAAGAAATATATAAGAAAAAGTTTCGGGATTGCTGGCTACTGTAGCCTGATTTTAAAGATTAGATTAGCCGACATAATACGGACATTAACAAAGCTTATTGCAAATGCAGTATTAACTTTAAAATTGACCAATTAAGAGCGCACATGACGAAAAAAATACAGGTGCAAAATACGTCAAGTTTAGTGAAACAAAATAAAATTAGTTTCGAGCCGGTCAAATCATCAGAAACTTGTCGCCAAGAAGTTGCGATCGTTATGTTTATAGCCTAGCATTCTGCTATTGAGCCGGTATGTCACCTAAGTGAATTGCTAAAGACACATTTTGACGCCTGTTCAAGCATTGAACTTTTATAGAATTTTTATAGAAATTCATAAGTTAGAGTTTCAAGGGATCGGACCCATGAAATACGAGATAAACAGCATGGTCTAAAACCGATCCCCTGCAGCCTAACATGAATAACACAAACATAAGCATCATAAATAACACAAACATAAGCGCATCCGCACTTGAGAAAGGGTCGCATAGCATGTCAGCGTGCAGTGCGTTGATGAGTAGTTTTAAATAGATTTAAGATTCTCATGTATCGTACTTATAAGAGAACTTTACCGAATAAAATCAGTTTCCATAAGGAGCTCATTGGAGTAAGACCTATTTATTTAGGGCTCCTCTTAACAACGCCAAGAAGGTTAAATTGCACAGAACCAAGTGCACTAACCTTATTAAAAATGTAGTGTCAGTGCACTTTAATAAAGATCTGCGTCTTGACCTGAGCAACGAAAAGTTCAGCCTGGTAATTGATGAGTCTACCAATATAAGTATAACCAAGCTTCTAGGTAAGTAACAGTCGTTAATGTAGCCAAATATATTTAAATTTTTGTGTTTTCAGGGGTTGCTATAATATATTACAGCGGTCAATGCGAGAAAATTCAATCGACGTTCCTTTCACTTGTTTCAATTGAAAGTGGAGACGCACTAAACATAACCAAGTGCCTCCAGGATGAGCTGTCTCGCCTTAAAATTCCCGTATCAAACTTGATAGGAATCGGCACTGATAACGTCAGTGTTATGGTGGGTAGCAAAAAAAGCGTTTATACATTCCACAGTGCGACAGTGATTTGGAACTTTTGAAGAGACCTAGTAGAATTGGTCATTAGGTCGAATATAGTATAAAACCGTGTTTGAAATATTTCTAATACCCTTAAAATCTTTTTTTTTTTTTTTTTTTTTTAACGTTTTGAATGTTGAAATTTTATTCCTAAGATTAGCTAGATTTTTAAAAATACTTAGTCTAAGCGTTACTTAGGGCCAGAGGTGATTTAATGGTTTTTTTTATTTTAACTTATTTTTATTTATGATTATTGTCGGGTCAATCAGCAAGCAACTAATTTAAACACAACAATTAATAAGTAACTGATGTTTTGCTGGTCGCAAGCCGACTCTCTTTCGGCCGCTCGGCTTCGCTACTTCGGCGCTTATAGTTAGCGAGCATCCGCTCAGCCTATTCTGCAAGGTTGACGCCACTCTCGTTCGTACTTTTACTGCGCTCGCATCCTAAATTGGATTTCAAATATTGTACATAAATCCTAATTTCATATGCGGCCTGAATAAAGTTTATAACGTTCAAATTAATTAAATTCTGATTTTTTATTTACGGCATCGAAAACTCTCGATGACCAAACATTGGTGACCCCGACGTGATCGTTAATATATTTATATACACATAAACAAATTACTAAAACAAAAACAAAACAATTTTGTAAACAGTGTTATGTGAAATTATCATTATCGAATTATCATACGTGTCTAATAAGTTTATTTACAATAATAAACAAATTATAATATATTATTATATTATACATTCATACAGGCATAAACATAACGTTAGTTCACAAGCACACATACATATTTACGATCCACAACGCAAGTGCATTCGCCCGCGCATAGACTTCATACAAACATACGATCCACAACGCAAGTGCATTCGCTCGCACATAGCTTCATATATATATACATTCCACAATTCCGCTACGGTTCTGAGCGCACAGTGGGACAGATCGTGTTCGCCGCGAGCAAATAAAATTTATTTCGGTTGTTCGGAACTAAATATAATAAATCATGAACTCCAGCGGCGCCGTCACAGGAGCACCCACTCCAACCCGGAGTGCAATTTTAAAGTGCAAGGCCCTGGGTATTCTCCAGGACTTACAGAGGATCCAAGGAGCTCTTCAGCCTATTTCCAAGGTGGATGATGCCATGCTACACGTGCGACATGGTCAGATAGCCACCATGTTCAGCGACTTCAAGGCCATCCACGGGGAGCTTGAGGATTTGGACATTTTGCAGATCAGCAGTGACCTTCGATGGACTGTTTCGGAGCTCGTAGCGACGATGCAGGCGGAAATTGAGCACGAGACGACCCTTCGCTCATCTCGAATTGCTGCCCACTCCACCCTTTCCAACGGAATGTCCACCATGCAGGCTGACCCAGGTTTAGGTCAAAGTTTTCAAGTGCTGCCTCCTTTGCCGCTCCCTACGTTCAGCGGTGGATACTCGGAATGGGCTGAATTTTACTCGATTTTCTCTACCATCGTCGGCAGCAATCCTCGTATTAGTAAGGTGGAAAAGTTGCAAAGGTTGCGATCTTGCCTTCGGGAGTCCGCTTTCGAAGCAGTGCGTTCCTTGGAAGTCTCCGACGAGAACTATGATGTTGCGCTGAATTTATTGGAGAAACGATTTAATAACCGTCGCTTAATATTTCAGGCACACGTGAACGAGATTCTGGGCCTCAGTCTGTTGGAAAGTGGCTCAATAGCAGCGCTTCGAAGTCTTTCGGACAAATTTAATGCCCATATGCGAGCCTTAAAGAATTTGGGTACTTCAGTTCAGATCGCCAGCTGCATCATCGTCCAAGTTCTGCTTCAAAGGTTGGACCCAGCTACCCAGGCCAAGTAGGAGGAGAGTCAAAACTCCTCAGGTTCAGACGCCATCCCTACTTGGGAGTCGATGGCCGAATTTTTGGAGCAGCGGTGTAGGACGCTGGAGGCTATGGACGTGGCCATGGCTGCATACGCCCCGGGCGCTCATGTGGGAAGGCGTCGAGGTGCAAATAATGGT